CCCTCACACACCGTCACCAGCACTCTGCCGTCGCACGAGCTCGTGGTGCAGAAGCGCTCGCGCGCGTTCAGGAGCAGCGCGAGCCCCGCGGCGCGAGCGTCCAGCGCGCGCTTCCTGCTGGGGTCGGGCCGCGCGAGCCGCTGCGCCTTGCGCCTCGCGAACGCCGCCATGGCGCCGGGACGGCGGCCCACGAGGCACAAACTACCGCGCGTGGCCGAGCCACGGGGCGGGGCGGGGCGAGCTGTGGTACCGCCCCCCCGGCTCCGGTCCCGCCCTCCGCCGCCCGCCTTCGTGCTCCGCTGCGGCGAGACTGTCCGTGCTCCGCGGCCGGGAGACTGTCCGTGCCCCGCGGGGGAGAGACCGTGCCCCGCGGCGGGGAGACTGTGCGTGCCCCGCGGGGGAGAGACCGTGCCCCGCGGCCGGGAGAGTGTTCGTGCCCCGCGACCGGGAGACTGTCCGTGCCCCGCGACCGGGAGACTGTCCGTGCCCCGCGACCGGGAGAGCGTCCGTGCCCCGAGACCGGGAGAGTGTTCGTGCCCCGCGGCGGGGAGAGTGTCCGTGCTCCGCTGCGGCGAGACTGTGCGTGCCCCGCGACCGGGAGAGTGTCCGTGCCCCGCGGGGGAGAGTGTTCGTGCAGAGCAGGGAGGCGGTGGGACCGTCCGTGCCCCGCGGCGGGACAGCGGCGCTCTGCAGGTTGGCGGGGGGGCGCGGGGCTCTCTCGGGGGGTCGGGACGGGACGGGACGGGACGGGAGCGCGGTAGCTCTGCACTGCCCGTGTCGGGCTGCACAGCCAGGACGGACACAGCCAAGCCTTGCACAGCGACAGCCCCTGCACTGCTGGAAGGGACGGGCTGACCGCGCGGAGCGGTTCCGGGGCGCGGCCTGACCGCCCGGAGGCTCAAGGGGCGGGGAGGGCGCGGCCTGAGGGCCGGGGCGTGTCCGCTCCGCTCTGCTCCGTTCGTGTTTGTGGACACGGCCTGAGGGCCGGGGCGTGTCAGGGGCGTACCCGGGCTGTGCCCGCTCCGTTCCGCTCCGCTCCGCTCCGCTCGTGTCGGGGCTGCGGTCCCGCCGGGCCCGGCCCTGCCCGCTCCGTTCCGCTCCGTTCGTGTCAGGGGCGTACCCGGCCCTGCCCGCTCCGTTCTGTTCCGCTCCGTTCCGCTGGTGTCGGGGCTGCGGTCGCCCCGGGCCCGCTCTGGCCGTTCTCAGGCGGCGGTAGTCCCCGCTGGTCGCTCCGTTCGGACTGTGTTTCCATTCCCCTCGTTCTCGGGATCACGGAAGGTGCTCCGAGCGGGCCCAGAGCAGCTCGGGGCCTTCCCCTGCCCCGCTCCCTCCTCTCGGTTGTTTATCACGATCCCGCCCCTCTGCCCCGCACACCGACCCCGCACACCGACCCCTGTTCCAGGAGGGCATGTCCCAGGGCATGTCCCGGTGGCTCAGGCTCTCCGTGACCCCAACCAGCGATCTCACTGTGCTTTTCTCCCAGATCCTCTGGGGCCATGGCAGCCGCCAGGAGTGTGATGAGAGCAGTCCGAGTGCTTGAATTTGGTGGCCCTGAGGTGCTTAAACTCCAGTCAGATGTGTTAATTCCTGTTCCAAAAGAAAACCAGGTACATGTGAGTTCTGTGAAGGGTAGTGGTGATAATGAATGTTAACAGGTGCATGCAGGACAGAATGAGAGAACTCCACATCTGGAATATATGAGTTTTAATCAACGTGTTCATACTACTTGAGAYATCATACTTAACAAATGTGGACTTTTTTACTCTTTGGAGGGCTAAATATTCCACATTAAGATTTTCCTGAAATTAYCTTCAGTTTGACACTAGGTTGTCTSAGAGGCTGTTTAAGAATTTAGTAAAAMTGCCACAATACTATGCTGTTAATTCAAGGGCTAAATCTTTGCAATTATTGCTTAAGAAGTGTCTTTTCTTTTAGGTATTAATTAAAGTCCATGCCTGTGGGGTAAATCCTGTTGAGACATATATTCGCTCTGGGACTTACGCCAGGAAACCGGCTCTGCCCTACACTCCTGGCTCGGATGTGGCTGGGGTGGTTGAAGGTGTTGGGGAACATGTGACTGCATTCAAGGTATTTTCACTTTGGGGTGTAATTCACTATTGTTTGATGTTCCTCTGGCTGATTGCTGTGCTGCTTTTCCTGGCTTTGTTGTTAACAATCGTGTAATCTGTTGAAGGAGAGAATCCCCTCCATGGACTGGTAAAAGCACAGAGTGGGATCTGTTGGTAAAGCACGTGCACGTGTGACTGGTGAATGGTGACTGTGGTGCCTTCCTCAAGTTCAGAGGTGTCAGAAGCGGCTCTGTGCTCTGTCTGCTTAAAGCAGTGACACCTGGTGTACGAAAATTAGCCTTTGGAGCTATTTTTCTGGCATGGCAGAAGTAGCTTAGCTTGGATGGTTCTTGCTGGGGGTAACAATATCAGGCAAAACTGAATTTTTTACTGTAAAGTTTTTTTGGAAAWGGAAATTGCTTRCTTATAAAGCTCCATAAATTTTGCTGTTGTTGTTTATTGCTAAAACTGTTCATATACTGCATATGTCCCATCTAGCAATTTTAACGTGGATTTCTCAGGGGGAAAGTCTTGAGATAGGAGAAGGCAAATACCAATTTGCTAATAGATATCTATGACATTTATTTCATTTTTAATTGGTTCTCCCATTCAAGTCACTAGATGTTTGGTACCAAACAAACAAAAATTGTAGTTAAAATTAAACTGGAATTTCCTGATTTGGAATTTCTGTAACAATTTTGGGAGACCTAAGAGATTTGGTTATCTAGAGARAAGAATCATCTTTATTCATATTTTCTTATCAGCAGTTTGCTGTATTTGCTATGTGTGACTTTTTGTTTCCTCTGGCAGTTGATGCTCTTGGCTTGAATGAGAGATGACTTAGGGTATATTAAGAGTATATATATTTCTGCATTTAAACTAAATAATTTACAAATGTTTCTTAAGTGTTTGTAAAAGCTTTTGAGGTTTTGCATTTGGAATCTGTGGAAGGAATTTCTGTCTTCAATCCAAGTTCGTTAAAGTTCATATTAATGAGGCAGTAGGCTTGTATGTTATACTGCAGGGCGGGGTTATAATTATGATACTTAAATTTAAATATAAGAAATTATACAATTTGTATTGCATTGATGGTATGTATCAGCATTTATAAAAATTTCTGTGACAAATATAGCTGGTTATTTTTTATAGGAGAGCTGTTAACAATAGCCTAAACCTCTGTACATTCATTCTTAACCATTATTAAGRAAAACATGAGGGAAATTATTGATTTCTCTCCCTCCATTGTAGAAAGGTGACAGAGTTTTCACCCTGGAAACGGTTTCTGGAGGATATGCAGAGTATGCAGTTGCTGCAGCCAACAGAGTCTTTCCYTTGCCAGACAAACTGGACTTCAGGCAGGGAGCAGCAATCGGAGTGCCCTACTTCACTGCTTACCGGGCCCTTTTCCAGAAGTAAGGCACCAAATCCTGTTCATGCACTTTCACCTTTTCTATTTAAAATGCCAAAGTTCRTGTTTTCACTGTCCTGTCAGATAATTGTGACCTAGAAACTTGTGACTGTGTTTTCCTGTTAARTCTTTTTTTCTTGAGAGAACATACRTGGAAAGACCTCAGGTAATAAAATGTTTGACTCCCTTTCAGTACTCACTGGTATTTTAGCTGGGGAGGAAAAACAGTTCTAATTTCCTAATTAAGCAGAGAGTTACTGTGGAGCAGAACTACTGCTTTCCTGTGTCAGGTGAAGGTCCTGAACTGAGGCTTARTACCAGGCTCACTGGCATGTTGCTTCAAATCATCAATCACAGGGTTTATTTTGCCTCCTTGTTCTTCCAAAAAGGCTTATGATATYTGCTTAGCCATAAATTGGAATGTAATTGGAACATAAATTGGAAACAATGCTGTGTGAACAATGAGATTTGATGTATGTATCTGCAASCCCATACTCAGTCAGCAAGTACTTCAATCCCAGTGCCAATATTTGCTGTGTTCCTCTCTCAGGGGCTGTGCCAAAGCAGGGGAAATCGTGCTGGTTCATGGTGCCAGTGGTGGGGTAAGTGTTCCAAAGAGGCAAGGGATAGAGTACTGCTCTGTGTCCTTTCATCTGCTGCTTCCTGGGTTATGAGTTATGCTCACATTTCTACCAACAGATTATTTTAGATACTCTAGGATATATTTTCTTAGAACAGACTCTGTTGTTACCAATTACTTGTGCAGTTGTGAGACTGTGTGAGTGTTGGTGTGAGCTCCCCAGTCAGAGGGTCACACACTGAGCAGGTGTTTGCTGCAAGTGGTAGTTGGGCTGCAAGTTTGATAACTGATAGCAGAAAGCTGTAATTTTCCAATATGTACAAGTTGTTCCCAGTACTCTGAGAATACGTCTCAGGACAACTGAGCATTTCTGGGATGTTTTTACCCAGGAGCCAACAGCTAGCTGCACTAGGAAAGGTACTGGAATATATAAATCTGTGACTGAATAYTACAGGAAATTGCACTTCTAGTTATATTGGTGTTTTCATGACAAACTTATTTTAGATCTCTCATGCAACATTCTAGTGTAATTTGTCTCCCACTGTACTTTCTTTCTTAGTTTCTGGTCATGCACTGAACAGCTGCTGTGAACAGGCCAAATTTCCTTAATGATTTGTTAGATGACAAAAAGATGAATTAAKAACTTATTCTGAGATACTAGAATGGCATTCAGCATCATAGACTGTTTTTCTTTAGTTTTCATAACCTAAATGTGGTGCATCTGTTTTTACTAGAGTGCAAAGACACTGAAAATTTACTTCCTAAAGAAGTAGCATTAATAAAATTTGGGCCTGCAATGTATAATGCTGGTATTAATGGCAGATGATTCTGTGAAGAGAAGAATTTCCTTGGATTTGTTTCAAAAATATRTGGGCCAGCTTTGACAGATACACAATATTCTACATTGATATAGATCAAATGCTGATAGCTATTAAAAAATCTCAAAAATTTACCATGCCTCTCTAAATATCTTTTCCTTTTTAAAGTCTGTTTGGCTGTCTTTAAGATCCAAATTACTGGCTGAAAAAAGTTACCAGACCAGCTTGTTAAAAAGGGAAGTTCCAAGATGCTGGTAGAATATTTAAAATTCTAAATTCTAAGAAAGACAGAGGTAAAATAATTTTCTCTTTTGTTTCTCTTTCTCCCTCAGGTGGGACTAGCAGCATGTCAGATTGCCAGAGCTTGTGGTTTGAAGGTTTTGGGTACAGCAGGAACTGAGGAGGGCATGAATGTGATCCTGAGAAACGGTGCTCACCAGGCCTTTAATCACAGAGACCCCAATTACACGGAGAGAATTAAGGTAGGCATGTATCAGGACTCGGGAATGTAGGTTGTGCTGTTCTTGACAAAATGTGAACAGTTGTTTGCAGCAGACTTTAAAGTGGATTTATATAGGAGCAATAGTGTACTTCCTTTTTCTTTTCTACACAAGGGAAAGCTTTCTCMGGCTGGAAAAACCAAGTTTTCCTCACAGGCAGTGGCATTTAGAACTTCTTACATTCAGTAAATTCTAGTGTGGGATCACATCATCAGTTAGCCCAGCAAAATGTGCTCCAATCCAGCTTATTGGCAGTCAGCTGCAATRCAAAGGCTGTATTGAAAATTTAAACAATAAGCTGTAGAATGGATACTTTCTGTAGTGTATAAAATAGATGGTGGTACCCAAGCACTAAAATAACATCCTGTGTCCTGTACAGGAGTGTACAGGGCCACGGGGAATCGATATCATCATAGAAATGCTCTCTAATGTCAACCTGGATGCTGACTTGCAG